ACTTGAGGTGATGAAGTAGTCCCTTTTATCCTTTCTTCTCTTTCTTGATCTGAAAAAATGGGACTCAAATATTTGAGAGCGAGATTAGAGAGAACAACGGGTCACACGTTCCTTTGGACAAATAAAGGAAAATGGGGAAAGGGTATCGTTTAGGATCTTTAAAGAATTCGGATTAGGGAACGGATTTGAATTTTTGTCTAATCCCTAGGCTTTAATTGGGTTTAATCGGTGAATCCACAGAGGGAATCGAAGCGCAAAAAAGCTCATTGCCCGCAAAAGGGATCGAACCGTATTGAGTTTCCTTTTGATGAACAATGAACAAATATCTCATTCATCTATTAACTATTTTTCTTTTTTTCAACACATCGCCCGTTTAGCTCAGTGACAGAGCGTCTGTCTCGTAGAAGAATCGAGTAAACTGAAGATCAGTTCAATACTGATAGCGAATGGCCTGATAGATGATAGATCTATACCTATCATCTATCATCATGATAGATTATAGATCTATTGAATGCTCTTATTTTTGCCTTAAAGTATATACAACCATTCGCTTTTGCCTAATTCAAATGCAAAAATTCAAATCTGTTTTCGGAACATCCCTTACCTTTGAACTCTATCACTTGAAACCTCCAGGCTCCATCTACGCGGCAAATAAAGACATTATCACAATTATTTGTTTCTTTTCTCTTAGCAGTGGTTTCTCGAAGAAATGATGGACTAGAATACTCAAAAAGATTGTTAACACAAGAGTAATGATTAGTGCTAAAAGTATTCCATAATTTCATTATGATCTTGCAAACTTATTATCGACGAGTCATTGTATTTTCCGAGATTTATCCTAAAGTGTAGCACAGGGTAATGAACCAGATATAGAGCATAGGATAGCAATGTATGAAGCGCAGTAATTTATGAAATGAGGCTAGTCGATATTGCTGGAAATGCGACTCTTTTGACCTCCCTAGGAACCAGAAAAAAATGAAAGAAAAAAAAAACCAAACTTGAGCCCATCAAAAATATAATGCCCCCAGGCAGGATTGAACTACCGACCTTTGGTTTACAAGACCAACGCTCTACCACTGAGCTATAAGGGCTGTTGTCTGGAGAGAGAATTTTCTGTTTTTGAATATTTGAACAGCTCATTGAGTCATTTCTGTTGAACAAATATCTCACTCATCTATTCATTAGCCATTTCTCTTTCTTTCAACTCACCGCCCGTTTAGCTCAGTGGCAGAGCGTCTGTCTCGTAAACAGAAGGTCATCAGTTCAATCCTGATAGTGGGCAATTCATTTTTGGAATTTGAGAGAAATGGTGCCATTTATAGGAATTTTATCAATTCTTGGATCTCACCGTCTAATTGATTCATTGGCAGAGCGTCTGTCTAGTACACTTCAATTTCTTTAATTCAAAGCAAACAGAAGGCCGCTGGTTCGATTTCAGCATGAAATAGCGTTTTTGTCAGTCAGCAAGCAAGACTTTCAAGTCAGCAAGTAGTTTGGTCTACTTAGTAAAATGACAAACCCCTGAATACACATCTGTTTGCACATCGGCTCAGTGATGTCGAAAGTTCTATAAGGGAAGTGAGTTTGTAGAGAGGAAAAGAGAGTGACTGGATGGATGGGTTATGCAATTCGAAAGGAAATCCCTGCATCAGGTCATACTCACACTCAATGACACACTTTCGATGGTCTAGCCTCTATTTTATTTAGCATAGCTAGGAATGAAGAGTTCAGTCATCATCTCCAAGCCAGCATCAGTGAAATGGCAGTTGTTATCGATAAAAGATCTCTTTGTCAATGGAGCAAACGTACGGAAAATGCTATTCTTTTTATCTAAAAGCTTTTGAAATCTTTTGTTTTGTCACTTGAAATATTCTGCTAAAAGAACATGCTATATGTGGCTTATATGGTGTCTTTTTACGGGCTCATCGTCATCTTTTTGGTGCTCGGTTTTGCGTTTTTGCCACTTGTCGTAATGGCATCAACAACATGTTCTTCCAGCAGAATATTCATATGGAAAACCAATTGCTAGTGACTTTATTCGGCTTTCTTTTTGAGGCTTATCCCTCTTTCAGCTACCTGGCCAACTACAGGGACATCTATACGGCCACTATTCTGCCCATCTATCAACCCAATATCAACTTCTCGTCGGTCACCTTTATCACGTGCTCTATCGCTTTTATAGCCGCTTCGTACCTCCATCAATCTTTCCTCTGTTTTGTTAACATTTTGTGCTGCCTTGCCATTACTAGTAAGCTTGAGAAGGGCGAATGCATCAAAAAAAAAACCGCAGACAAAAAGCCAGAATGTGCACTCGAAAAGGCGCCTTTATTCCGCTTTTAGCCAAAAAGAATACCCGGTGTAAGGAGTGGAAGACCTCAATGACAACAACGAGTTTCAAATTTGCAAATGGATCACGGTAAGTTGGTTGGCTCCGGTCATGGTGAAACGTTTCAGCTTTCGATGTCTGCGAAGATTTGCATCACTACACGGGCGGCATCTACGATTGAGAGTGTTCTGAAAAAGATCTTGACCAAACTTGTGCTCACGTTGTGGCTATTGTTGGCTATGGTATGGGTCATCAATTTGTTCACGTTTTCGATACGATTTTTCGGGTATTTTGAAAGGGTAATCTCGCTTTGAAAGCCTATAACTTTGTTCAGAGATAATATTTGTGTTAACTTTTTATGTAGTTTTAGCAAGAAAATTTCAGGCTTCCGAATGGTATTAAATAGTGTTTGATTGGATAATCCAGTCCAGAAAAATCAAAGCCAACTCTGAGCTCAACGAAGTCAATTCAACTCAGGTGCCCTGTCGCCTAGTTTGCATGGGAAAGAAAAATCCAATCAAACTGTATTTAGTGTCATTCAAAAGCCTGATGATATTTTTAATGTAGAAAAGCGTCCAAATGACAGATTTTCTATTTAGTTCCTATTTGGTTCCTATACAGTGCGTTTCAAATTCTTAAACGCACCCTCTAAAATAGCGGATTTTGCATTTTGACCACCGCTACAACTATTAGTCTTTTTCTATTAGAAAGAGCATGTCTTAAAACCTAAATAACACGAAAAAGAAGCATACTGTAAAAAGTAAAAATTTTCAAAATAGAAACTTTTTGCTAAATCGACCGTTTCAAATTCTTAAAGGCACCTGCCTTTGCTGTTGTTATTTGAAATTTTTCGTTTTGTTGTGCATATCTTTTTATTAAATTTATAATTTTTGTTAATTTCCAGGTAAATGGCACATGGAAAGCTGCTCACGGATTATGATAAAGGGCAGATTGATGCCCGTTTGAGGATTGGCGACTGAATAAGGAAAATCGCAAAAAATTTGGGCCGATCCGACTCTGCCGTGCGAAATTATAGAAAGTTCGAGTTCGTTTCTGCACCAAAGAAGAAGCCAGGACCGAAACCAAGCTTACGCCGCGAGCTAGACGCCATATTGTGAACAAAATCCACGGAAAAACGATCAATGAAGTGAAAACAGAACTGAAAATCGACGCTTCGAAGTCGACAATTTGGCGAGCGGTCACGGAAACTCCACATTTAGATCGACAATTATTGAACATGCAGCCGGTCGTGAAGCTTTGGCACAAGAAAGCCCGATTGGAGTTCTCCAAGGCTCATATGAATCAGGATTGGTCTATGGTTAGAAAGCCGCTTATGTTTTATTATTTTTTTTTGCGTTTAGGTGATCTTTTCTGATGAGAAGAAATGGAATTGGGATGGTCCCAATGGCGTTGACTACTATTGGAGGGATCTTCGACGTGATCCGATAGTGTTTGGAACTCGAAACTTTGGCGGTGGTTCTGTGATGGTTTGGGCCGCCTTTTGTGCTGATCGAGCGGTCGCTCTGAAGATGGTTTCGAATCGGATGACTAGATAGATATCTTGAGCAATTACTTGTTGCCGCTTTTGCTCCTAAATCCAACCGTTCTGGACTTGTTTCAATACGACAACGCGTCAATTCATCGAGCCGGAGACACCCGAGACTGGCTGAACAGCAACAACATTGCAACTTTGGACTGGCCCGCTCAGTCTCCTGACCTCAATCCGATAGAAAATTTATGGGAAATACTTGTCCAAGCTGTCTACAAGAATCATCGTCAGTTTCAAGACGTTTCTACACTTAAAGCAGCACTTTTTCGGCCTGGAGCGATCTCGACGTCTCTGCTCTTCAAAACCTCATCAATTCAATGCCAGACCGCATTTTTCAAGTAATTAATCGTTCTGGTGCGTGTACAGATTATTAGTTTTGATTTTTAACCTTTGATTTTTAATTTGTGTCGATAAATAAAAATATTTTCATAGTGCGTTTAAGAATTTGAAACGGTCGATTTGGCAAAAAGTTTCTATTTTGAAAATTTTTACTTTTTACAGTATGCTTCTTTTTTCGTGTTATTTAGGTTTTAAGACATGCTCTTTCTAATAGAAAAAGATTAATAGTTGTAGCGGTGGTCAAAATGCAAAATCCGCTATTTTAGAGGGTGCGTTTAAGAATTTGAAACGCACTGTAGTTCCAATTTGGTTCCTATTTGCTTCTTTATAGTTCCTATTTGATTCCTACGTCAAGATGTCGACAAGCGCTCATTCCAGCGCTTGTTAAATGAGTTGTATAAGGCCAAGAGTCCAAAGCGCCAGAGTCCAAAGTGCACAAATCGTCAGGAAAAGAAAGAAATCGACAAATTGAGCCATTTCTTTCTGGAAGCGGGCCTGAGGCTTGTGAAGAAAACGGTGAAAAGGAAAGCGAGTGAAAAGCTTGTACAACCGATAAATTTCTATCTTGATTTGTGTTTACAAATCAAATTGAAGAATGAAAGTTAGTATGGAATGACTAGCGAATTGGTTTTGAACGCAAAGCCCAAGATTTGTTACTTTTTCTTCTAGTACACTGTATTTTTTAAGTAATTTTCTACAGAAAATATTTATTGAATTTTTTAATAACAAGATCATTATTGAATTCATTGATATTTAGAGTTGTTTCTATGAATTCTTATTGAATTATTCTCGCACCGTTTTCCCAGCTTCTTTGAATTCGAGCTCGGGGGCCCATTTGCCGCTGAAAAGGTTTTTCTTTTATTTTTCGAGATCACTAGAAGTTAGTAACGATTTTTCTTAGCGACCTAGGTGATTCCTGATTCCAGGTGAGCTTTATAAAAAGCTGCCACCCTTCACCTTCCATTCCCAACTCTGGCCATTTCGTCGGATCGTTTTGCTGAAACGCTTAGTTACTTTAAAAAAAACTGATCATATGGCAAATACCGTATTCTCTCTCATAGTATTGCGGTCCAGGAGGGGGTTGAAAAAATAGTAGTGCGCACTACTATTAGAGAGAATACGGTATATCATTTTCAGAAAGAGTAGAGAAAAATTTTGCTTATCCCCAAAAATTCACTACTGTTTACCTTGCCGGGATATTATGCGTATGCATTGAAACCCAATAGAATTTTTTCTCTAATTATCCTCAATTAGTTGAGAGAAGAAAGTTAAGAAAAAAAAAATAAACACTTACTTCAATAGACGACTCGAGATAAGCCGTGGCCCGAAGCTCGGCAAAAGACCAGAGAAACGGCTTGGTTTGGCCTGCACGAAGCTCATTGGTGGCCTAAATGTCCTCGCCTATTATTCGAATATGTATAAATCTTCACTTTTAGCGGATTGTGATTTGTGTTATCCAAGTCGTAAAATCGCACACCCTTCTTGGCAGGCTTTAGACGACCACCGTCCTCGTATTCAACCATTCGATAACTCAAAGTCATCATCGTCTCCAGTTTGAAAACGAATCGTGTACCGTCCCATTTCATATCTAGAAAAATTTTTTAAACAATTGAAAAGACTCTAAAACTATGGCGTCATTGTAAACCTTTTATGTTGAAATGGCCAAGTTGCACGTCCTCATACGAATCGTGTTCCTCGTTAACGTCTAAACCGCCAAGAATGGAACGTTCAAGTGTGAACTGCGGCACGTATAATCTTCTGGAAAGGTTAAATTGGAACAACTGTGAAAAGTCATAGATTATATTTCTTTTTGTAGAGTTATTGGCTAGCAATTTTTGTAAACGTTTGTGCAAAGTTCTAACCGTGCTCCGTCGAAGTCGAACCTTAGCCAAAGGTTGAGGTTGAGGCTGTCAACTCTGAAGCCGAACAGCGGAAACAGCTTGAGGTTTGGGTTCTAAACACAAAAAATTATATGTATTGTGATGCAGGACTACTATTTTAACTCATAGACTTGGTTAAAATGTTACTTACTTTACTGTAATACTCCAAACTCTTGATCGCTTGTCTGAAATTGAAACCGAGTTTCGTTCTTTTGCCAGGCCCGAATCTAGTGATAAGAGGATTATCCTAAATCAAGCTTTGAATCAACCAGCGCCAAACTGTGTTTATTTTGCTCATCGCGAAGTTCAGCCTACCTTTATATGGTATTTCAGATCGAAAAATACACCGACACTTGAAGGTGACATTTTCACCAGCTTTAACTCGAGCGCTTTCGTGTCCTTGTTTTCTACCGAGATAATGAGTCTATTCTTGAATAAATCTTGCCCTAAATCCGATTGATCTTACACGGAAAACAAATCACAAACCAATGATTTCTAACTTCAACACATCCGGTAACTTCAGAGCATTGTTCTTGCTCAGCCAACATTTGGGATCAAATCTAAAAGTTTTTTAGTGTTCTTTGTTGCATAGAAATTTCATACCTCGATATTTTAAGCTCGACGAGTTTATCTCGAATCTCCACAGGAATCTCGTTGTTTATTTCGTTGTTCAATAGCTTCAATTCTTTTGGATTGTATTCGCGTGGAGAAATCGTTTCAAAATTGCGCTTATCGTCATAATTTAAACATCGAAAATCAATGTAATCGGACATTGCTTGAGTTATCGGTATCCGTATCTGTAAATGAAGTAAATGAAGTCGGTAAAGTAATGATTACTGCTCACAATTCACATGGTACCTTCGAGACGTATTATAAAAAAAGAAACACTCACCAAAGTTGGAGAAACACTGAAAATTCAAGAACCAAAGTATTGAAAAAGTAGTAATACAGATCTTGCAATAATTTGGAAAATGGCTGGTAAAATTTCTAGGTGTTTTTGAATTGATAGCTCTCTTATCACGCATCAGGCTCGACAAATACACGTGATCAGACCCCACATGTTGGGCAAGGGGCAAGGGAAGCTTGCGAAATCATTGCTTACCACATTTTATCTCGTTTTCTTCAAAGTTCGGAAGGTGTTCTTAAACATTTCAAATATTTTACACCAAAATAACGAGCCCGCTTCCGCGTTGGTTGCGTATTTATCTAGGCCAAGTCTCCGCATAACGTACGAGCACAGTCTAGTATGCTTAATCACTTTCAACTATTTGCCGGGCATAGGTTAAGACTGGCTGCCTGTTACCGGACATAAGGTAGACTGTAAGGGACATAAGGTAAACCTACCTCAACCACAAAAAAAGTAAGTCACAAACACGTTCAAAAAATATTACCAATCGTTTGAGCGTGGTCGAAAACCCTAGAAAAGTTTACCAAGCCAAGTCCAGCTTGTTTACCAAGCTGAGCACATGCCTGTTTATTTATTACCACAAACCCTTCCATTTTATCACTTTAAAAATATTCAATATCAAGAGCGGCATCAATTCTTTGCGCAAAAGACTTGTCAACTCACCATAGAAAACCATTACCAGTGACGAGAAAAATCAAAAGAACAATGATTCGGCCTTTCAATTGTAGATTTAGATTTTCCAGCCAACCTTTGAATTCTCATTAACCAGTAAAAACATCGCAATAAATATAGTTGAATCTCTACCTTGTCAGACAATTGTTCGAGATCGGGAAAAGAAAGGAATACTTTTAGCTTTGCTTTCACATTCACGAACTGCGCGGCGCTCAATTAGACAAAAAGTTCCCCTATTAACAAGAAAGATTTAAAACCCACTTTAAAAAGGCTTATGGCAGCAAAAAAACAAAGAAATTTCTCTAATATCAAAAATTTGCCGTCTCCCCGGATCTTGAAATTTTGTTCCCCTCCCCGATACTAAAGAAGTACCCAAGAATCGATTCAGTTCCAGTTATTTGTTATTTATTATTTACAGTCAATGATTGTTTATTTCTCAACACCCCAGTTGGCACTCTCTAATGATTATTCGATCTTGGTTCGTTCAAATGCGGTTCCAACTGCGGTTCCGATATTGCGTCCACCTAGCCACGAATTGCACAAGATTGCAAGTCAACTGATGTGATTGATTTTTTTAATGTTTTAGTAACTTTCGAGATGAATAGTTTTATTCATATGAAATCATCGATTCAAATTGATGTTTGGTCACATTTGATACGTCGGAGTAAAGCCGTTACGTTGGCGGCGCTTATCAGCTCGGTGTTGACTGTCTTGAATCCTTCCAATAAACTTCGTTATTGATCGATTTTTTTCTCTATAATTTTCTTTAATTTCCAATTTGATCGATTCAAACTGATGTTCAAACTGATGTGGTCACACACATGATTCCTTATAATTCATTAGCTTTCATTGTAAAAACTGTCATTGAACTGAACTTCTAATACAGTAGTCCACAAAAGTAATGCCCCATTGCCATCCAACAGTATGTTTTGTAAGGAAATCTTGCAAAATCGACATTTCAGAAAAAGAGTAAGGTATTTTTATCTACCTACAAGACTCGACTTTTCAAGGATATAAGATCTATCCGTATACATTACATACAAATTAAAGTATAAAACAAAACCAATCAGTTACTTGAAAATTAGCTCCACAAAAGTAATGCCCCATTTGCAAAGAATTAACACCATTTTTAAATCAATACTTGGTTGGTCCTCCTTTTGCTTTTATTACTTTATTGAGTCGATTCGGCATGGAATTCACGAGATTCTTCAAAAGACTTTGGGAAATGGTAGCCCAGAGATGTGAACCCATAAGGCAGCTTTCAAATCGAATTTCTTTCCCTTCACAAATGACCAGAGATGCTCGATAACATTGATATCCGGTGAGTAGGGAGGCGGATTGATCAATTTGACTCGACTTGCCGCAAACCAGCCCGGAAGTCGTGCTCGTGTACCATATTGAAGCGTCAACACCGTTCCCATCATGAGCCTTGACTTGTGTTTCGGGTCGTTGTCCTGGTAGAGCATCCATCCAGGAGGTATCGCCTGTGTGGCAAAAGGCAGCATTTGGGTCTCCATAATGTTCTTGTAAGCCACAGCATTCATCGTTGAGTTGATGTGAACTAATGGACCTACTGAAGTTCGTGACATCGCTCCATCGCATTTTGTCACCTGACCGAAAAACAGTCAGGTGACAAAATACTAAAAGGCTCTTACCCCAACACATTATGTTGTTTCCATTGAATTGCACCGTAGGCCGAATGTACTTGAGTGTGTTTTGCTTTCCAGTCGGCCGCCGAATAAGATGGTTTCCGTCCGCGTGAAATAAATTGATTTTTGTCTCATCGGTAAATAGCACTTTCGCCCAATCACTTATTGTCCAACTTCGGTAGGTCCGTGCAAAATCAAGGCGCTGCTTCCGGTGCTTAGAATTCATCAGGGGTTTACGGGCAGCCCTTCTTGCATATAATCCAGTTTGATTTAATCGTCGTCTGATCGTTTCCGGCGATACAACCTTGTTAAATTGGTCCCTCATCATTTGGCTTCCATCGGTTGATGTTTTGTTCGGATCGTTTTTCACTATTTGGATCACGGCTCGATCTTCTTTTATGGTTGTGATTGGTCGTCGGCCACTCTTGAGGCCTCGATGAAGGCTTTTGATTGAGAAAAAATGCGGCGCACTGTCCATATCGAGCAATTGAAGAGGTTGGCCACATCCTTCTCCCGCATCCCATTTTCCCGGGCCTTAGCGATTTGGAGCTTCGTCGGAGTGTCAAGATTTTTCATGTCAGGAATCTAAATAATACAATAGAATACATTTAATGTTCATAGAAGGAGAAACAAAAAGAATAATCATGAAAACGATCAATGGGGCATTACTTTTGTGGAGCTAATTTTAGGGGTAATTGCACTCTTCCACATCGATCTTTTGATTGGAAGGATCTCAATCAAAAAATCCAGTTATTTAACAACTAGAATTTCTAAAGTATTTTAAAAGAAAAAAATATATTTAAAATACATGTTTTCAGGAAGAATTTTGCAAAAAATACTTTTGAATGGCAATGGGGCATTACTTTTGTGGACCACTGTATCTAGTTCTTTTCTTTTATCGTCTTGTTTAACTTATAAGTAAGCGAATAACTCTCTAATTTATAATCTTAAAAAGTTGAGTTTATATTCGATTTCGTACGCTTTTATTGTCTTGTTCATATAATTAAGTGTAGAGTTACAGTCGTCTAATCTAATCAAGCCAACGCTAATTGGACCCTTAATGAGCTACCGTAAATACCGTAAATAACCAAATGTACCTACCGTAAATACTGTAATAGTACCCCACCCCATAATGACGGCGCGGAGTGTTGCGTAGTCTGGCTTTGAACGCGTTTTTCTCGACACTGGCTTATGCTACAATGCGCGCTTAGGTATCAAAAAATAGCCCTGAATTTCAGCTATTTTTTCATACCAAAGACGCATTTTATGAAAGTACGAGCGGTTTGAAAAAAATGAAATACTGAAAAACCTTTGAGACTACGCGACTGTACGATGGGGTGGGGTACTATTACAGTATTTACGGTAGGTTAAGTTTACTGTGATGGTTACAAAAATATTTTTCGATTAGCCAATTCTTATTATTTTAAAATTCAGAAAGCTCTATTGTTTTCTATAAATAGGGTAAACAAAAGCTGCTAAAAGTTGCCCCAACAGCCTTACGCAATACAACGTTCTGGAAAGGGGAAAATTCAGAATTCCCCAATTTTTCCTCGTATTTTCCTAAAGAGATCCGAAGAATGATTTTTATATTATTTGATTATTTTGATATAATCGATATCAATGTGAGCTCTAATTTGGAAAACTCAAAACCCTAACGGCTAGGTAACTTCTAGACAAAATCAATATCTTTTAGGATAATCCTGAAGTCTTGGCGATAGATGGTAATCATACTCGAGCGACTTCAGAGGATGAAGATGAAAATCGGGTTTTCAATGTACGTCGGAACGGGCCTGTCCCGGTGTTGAATATGAGTTTTTGAGTTCTGGAACAAAAAACAATGCATATATGTATATACAGTGCCGGACAAAAGTTTAAGAACATGACCTCAAGTTACGGAAAAAGCTCAATATCTTTTAGAAGGTGAAGAGTTTCATTTAGGTCTTAAAAGCATTTTTGTTTGCCTCAATTTCAGGAATTAAATACATCTTATAACAGGTCACAAATCTCAATACAAAAAAGTCTTTGAGACTTTAAAGGAAATAGCCGGTATTCTAGCCGGACAAAAGTTTAAGAACAAGCATTTTTTTAATTCAATATTTCATTTTTCACTGATTTTTTTCTGGACATTTTTATATTAATTTTTAGAAAAAATGACCAAAACTCAACGAATTTCACCTTCTGATGTGGATACCATTGTCCGAATGAGGGATCTAAAAAGCAAAACATTTGAGGAGATCGCTACGGCAATTGGATGAAAAAGGCACTCTGTTTGGCAAGCCTATCAACGTAGAAAGAACCCGAAGCCGAGAAAGAAAATGGGAAGACCTCGAAAAACCAGTGACAAGTAAGTTTTTTTGAGATTTCGTTTTTAAATGTGCAAAATATTGCTCAGGATGAATCAACGCATCATACTAGCGTCCAAGAAGAACCCGTTTTTGACGCCTCCTGAGGTTCGTGAAGCTATTGGAGCGTCAAATGTTGATCGGAGAACAATACAAAGACGTTTGAACGAGAGTCACCTCTTTGGTCGAACTGCTGCTCATAAACCGTTCGTCTCTGTCAAGAACAAGAAAGTCAGGTTGAATTTTGCTACACACACGAGCATTGGACGGCTGCCGAATGGAAGAACGTGCTTTGGTCAGATGAATCCAAGTTCAACATGAGCAATACGGACGGAATAAAACATGTTCGTTGCCCGCCGAACACCCGAAATGACCCACGATACACTGTTGGTACAGTTAAGCATAGAGATGGTAATCTCATGGTGTGGTCATGTTTTTCATTTGACTGCCATGGACCTTTGGAGCGTGTTCAGAGGATAATAGATCAATTTCAATACCGTGGTATCATTGAGAGAGTCATACTTCCACATGCAGCCCAAAACATGCTGCGAGGATGGGTCTTTATGCAAGACAACGATCCCAAACACAGAGCAAGGAGCGTAAAGAAATGGTTTGCCGATAATCTTGTTGGTCTTTTAGAGTGGCCAGCTCAATCCTAATCCGATTGAAAACATGTGGAGTCAAGTTGAGCGTGGACTAAAACGTAAAAAATTCGCGACCGGCGATCTTCTTTTGGACGCTATTCAACAAGAATGGAACAAGATCCCAAAAAGTTTTATTGAGAAGTTGATCGAAAGTATGCCGCCTCGTTGCCAAGCAGTGATCAAAGCTAATGGTGCTTCGACTAAGTATTGAACTTGTTAATCACTTTTGTTGCTTTAATTGTTATTTTTTTAAAATAAACTTTGTTAAACAATGCTTGTTCTTAAACTTTTGTCCGGCTAGAATACCGGCTATTTCCTTTAAAGTCTCAAAGACTTTTTTTGTATTGAGATTTGTGACCTGTTATAAGATGTATTTAATTCCTGAAATTGAGGCAAACAAAAATGCTTTTAAGACCTAAATGAAACTCTTCACCTTCTAAAAGATATTGAGCTTTTTCCGTAACTTGAGGTCATGTCCTTAAACTTTTGTCCGGCACTGTATTTGGAAAACCCAAAGGTATGCTTTACTATATATCATACTAGTATTTCAGAATGCTCTAGAGGCTCCAGAAGGTATTAACGAGAACAACGGGCCCTTCGATGAATGCCCAAATAATTCGGTTCCAGTATTGAATGTGAGTTTTCGTCTTAATAAAATCATTTTTCGATGTAAGTTGATTTCCAGACTATACCAATACTTTTTAGGATAATCCGGAAGCGCCACTAATCGGTGGAGTGCAATTTCCAGTGCTCCCGGTGGCCAATGATGAAAACGAAGTCACTGATGGACGTCCAACATTTACCTTGGGTGTAAGTTTTAAGTTTCAATATAAAAGTATTACCAAAAGGCTTTGGTTTCAATAGTAGGCTGAAAACCAAGGATTTGGCTTTGTATTATTGCCAGATAGTTAAAAGCAATTTTTAGGATGAGCGCGAGGTCCCCGTGATCGATGATGGCAATGAGTGCTCAAATGCTACAGGGATTCAACCAAATGAAAACGAGCCCGACCAGTCAGGTGCCAATGAACCGGTTAGTGAAAATTCTTACTTACTGACAACATTCTTTGTTGTTTGTGCTGCCAATAAATCTCAAATACAAACCAATTAAAAGTCCCTATTGACTTTTGACTTAACTTGGAGAACTAAAGTAAGCTTAAAAAAAATTAGGCTTTTGAAAACCATTCACTGATATTTTTTAAATAGACAGTTTTCCAAATGAATTTCAAAATTACTGTTTTCAGCCTGCAATCGGCAATGTGGAAAATGGTTTGGTCGATCAAGATATAGTGTTAGATTTCTCTGTTCTTGATGCAGACTTACCGTCAGAAAGACCCCCGATATGGGGTGAGTTCTTGAGTGATTTTATTGGAGTTCTTCTTTTCATTTTCATTAGAAAACCCTTTTTGTCAGCTAACCTTATTCTGAAGGAAGTTTAGCCCGGTTCTCGGACCTCGTAAGCGTCGATTTGGTCAACGTTTTCAACGGCTATTTGAAGATCACGGGTGATTCATTGAATTCTCAACAATCAACATAACAGAAAAAAGTTTAGGTGGCATTACCGACAAGCGATCCATGAGCATAACAATCGAGAAAGAAATTGAAAAGGAAATGTCCTTATCGGTAGTAAAGTACGATCCGGGGCTCGTCGTTTCGTTTATCAACCGAAAACCATGTTCAAGGGTAAGCTAATTTAAGGAAAGATTATCAGTATAATTTTCAGCCTTGCGAGAAATTTGAAGATTCCCACGGTAATAAATTTACCTCTACTGTTTTGGAAATTCGTGCCCCTGCGGATGCGGTGAGCACGTTGCTCAATTACAAAAAGGTGGGCTTAACGATTCTTCCAATAGAAACTCGCTTTCAGCCAGGGAAAAGTGAAAATAAGAAAATTTTAATTTCACTGCAAGAAACCCGATTTGAAATAAACAAAAAAGATTACCATGACCTGAGATTCTAAATGTTTAGGAGAAAAACGAATTCGGAATGATGTTGTTGAAGCTCAGAGTTGGTGAAGAAGTAAAACTTGGATACATTCGATTTGATTGGGACCCGATAAACAGGTTAATCTTGCAAACTAGTGGAGAAAATGTTTTGTTTAGTCCAGATTAGACTAGCCCCTGATGCTCACGGAACCTACAATCACCGTAATACCTGTAATAGTAGCGTCCACGCCCGTACAGTCGCGTAGTCTAACACACAATTTTGTGACGCTCGTTTCTCCACGCTGCTTCGACAAAAAATGTGCGCTTAGATATCAAAATATAGCACTTGAAGGAAAGAATTTTTTGGTACTAACAGTTTATTAGAAAGCTGGGCATGATTTCGAAAATGATTTACTTTAACGATTACGCAACTATAAGTCATTATGGGGGTGATGCTACTATTATAGGTATTACGGTAGGCTTGCTTTAAGTAATCTGAAATACGCTTTACCTATATAAATATTTAAACTTTTCCTAAACAGTAATAAGTGTTTCAGCAAAACCATCGTGCCGTCCTTTTACAACTATTAGGTTGATGCAAAAGTCTTTTTGTTCCTTTTCGTCTGCCGTTTCAAGCCAACAAATGCACCAATTAAACTACGGTTGATTTCATTAGAAAAACCAATTATTTTTCTGCAAAATAACATTAAAACGGGTTTAAAAATATTTTATGCCTGGATTTTCTTGAGAGTATGAAGTCGGGTAGTCAAAAAGGGCTAACTCGATGATGCGGTTTAGACACCTTAGCTAAAGAAAACCTATCTTCGTGTCAATAGATAAAAGATAGAGAAAAAAAAGTTTGATATTTCGCCAAAATCTCAGAGAAATTCATTCAGCCAATTTTTCCGTAGAGTTTTTATAGATTTTTACGAAAAAGGCGTTTTTCACTCTCGAATTTGCTTGAAAGTGAACCGAAATTGATTTAAAAAGATGGAAATTGAACAAAAAAACACTTTTTTTATAGAGCAAACTATAGATTAATTGGTGAATTTGTTACTTTTTAACAGAAGTACGAAAAAAACGAAAAGACTTATGCATCAACCTAATACCATTTACAAATGGGCGTGCTGAAAATCACGAAAAACAAGAAAAATCGTTTGGAAAAGAGAAATTGTTATGATAGAACCCGTTATAATGGAAAGCATATTTGCAGTCGTTTCATCTCAGGTGAGTGAATAGGAATACAATACAAATCAAATTTATCTAAGCCACTTTCAGAAGCCTACTTCGATCCAGACACCTGGTTGACGCTGATCCACTTGCCAAAGTCAGGATATTTTCTTTACGATGTGACCGTGGAAAAAAACCTTGAGAATGCGGGGCTTCGCTTTCTGTTTCGTGGTTAGCGCACGCTTACGACAATGCTTCATACGGTGGGGCTTTTCACCACAAGCCGTAAAGCAGATGCCTAGTTATTAGCAAAACAGTGGTTCGACTCGCACAAATTGACAACTTTTGTTTAAGATTCCAGTTTTCAGCACGCGTTCACGCTGTCGCAAAATGAAGAGGATCTATTTGGGATCAACTTCGGAAATCCGCGCACAAGGGACGGACTGATTGAGTGGCTCGGGGTAAGTTATCATTCAAGATCAATTAATCGTATTCCATAGGACGGCAATGCTCTCCAAGTGAACATCAACCTCCTAGAGAGGAAACCTGGAAAAATGAGACATACGATTCGATTTGAACTGCGACTTGAAGGGTTTGTTTTTCCATTAAAAATAACAGCCTTGGGAATCGAACCTTTGGCCCTTAGGTCTCTAATTTGAATCCTTGCCGACTGACTGTGTCTCCATCCATTTTATTGTATGGTGCTAGACTTCCTGTCAGCGAAACATCGTGAAAACCGAATCATGAGCTGATGATTGTTAAAAAATTTAGTGGTATTCTCGGGCCTACTATTATGGACGTGGAATTCAGCCAACGGGACTTCCTAATCCACAGCCCTTCACGCAATCGAACTCGCCACCTTTTTGATGCTGCTCCCAGCTCGTATTCCTCAAGTTCCAATATTTCTTTTTGCTAGGAAATGTCTTTGTTCTCCTTTGATACCCAAATATGCTCATCTCTAAATTTGTATTTGATTTTGCTATGTTTGCATTTCTCAGAAGGAGGTTGTAGTTTGATCATTTCACTTTGTATTGTGACCCTCTATTCGATAATCGATAACATTGTGATATCAATCAAAGAAACTAGTCTCGATCCCTAAAATACCTTCAAATCATTGCTCATTCCATTTTTTTGCTCATCTTTTTGCTCATCATTGCATTTGTTTCATTTACACTTACCATTAGACCAGTTTGCCAATATCAATGAAATTTGATGGCATAGACTATTATACAGGGTGCGGCAGGATTATTGGAACCTCCTGAGGGAATCAATGTCAGTTCCAACAACTATCTCGGCATACTTAAGAAAGATCTTTTTTACTGGCGCCAGCAGCATTTCCCTGTTTTGGTCACCTTTAGTGACCACCCTCAAGTGCCGATCTTAAACCGATGGATTTCAGTGTTTGGAATGTTTTTGAAGCAAAAGCGTGCTCAAAACCACGTTCCAGCATCGATTCGCTTAAGAAATCTCTTGAAGAAACATGTGATAAACCCTAACCCGCTTACCATTTGGCCACGGTGGATGCATTTCCCAAATGTCACCAGGCCTGCATTTCTGCCCATAGAGATCTTAAAAGGAAATAGTTTTTCTTGTTTAATTTCTCTTTAAAAATCAATTGTTAAAGTTTTTGAGTTGATTTTTTTATCGGTTTCTATCCTTCAAAAAAATATTGGTTGCAATCATCCTGCCGCACCCTGTATTTAGGCACTGATACCTTTTAACTTTGGATTTTGTGGGCAAATTCAATAAAGTTTTTATTCCAATATTTCAACTTAACCGATTTTACTCTGATTCAACTAATTCAGAAAACTAAATAACTTTTATCATTTCTATTTCAATAATGATGATAATATTGAATGATAGTACAGATTAAGAATAAAAAGTGTCGACACTGTATGACTTGAGAGATATTTTATAGAAACAACACGAAAAGCCTATGTGCACTCCAAATAGACGAGAAACGAGAAACAAGAAACCAGACATGAGCCTTGATTGGGAGAATCATTATATATGTTACATCCTAGTCCGACCACAATCCGATAAATGCCAATTGATCCCGCTTGATACATCGAATTTTTTATATTTTTTCAACTATGATAGTTTCACCCACGCAAAATTTAAGCTAAGAAA